GGCGCTGTTGACGACGCAACGCGTCCACGTATCAGTCTGACACAACACGTGCAGGCGTGTAACGTGTAAGCCGCTGCGTGTAGCGTGGCACGGCAGCGGTGCCTGTAGCGGTAGCGTGTAGCGTGTGGCGTGTACGGGCGTGTAGTGGTAGCGCGTACGTGTACGTGTAGGCGTGTCAGCGTGGAGGGGTGGCCGTGTAGCGTGCAGCGTGTAGCGTGTAGCGCTGTGGCGTGTAGTGGTAGGGTAGCGTCGTACAGTGTACGTGAGCGTAGGGTGGTGGCTGTAGCGTGCAGCGTGTACGTGAGCCTAGCACGTGTACCCTGCAGCGTGTAGCGTGTGCCGTGCGCGTGGCGTGTAGCGTGGCTTAGCGTGTGCGTGTGGCGTGTAGCTTCTAAGCGTGTAGCATGTAGCGTGTGCGGTACATTAGCGTAGCAAGGCTCGAATTCCCTATGCAAAACCACAAAGCGTGTCAATTGAGAAATCGAGAGTGACTCCTGATGTATGTATGTGTGTGTGTGTGTGCGTGCGTGCGTGCGTGCGTGTGTGTGCGCGCGCGCGCGCGTGTGTGTGTGTGTGTGTGTGTCTGTGTCTGTGTCTGTGCGTGCGTGCGTGCGTGCGTGCGTGCGTGCGTGCGTGCATGCATGCATGTATGTATGTATGTATTGTTCCCGATTGGTTTGCATCCGCGCGTTTATTCTCAACGTCGTTAAAACTCGTCGAATCTTTGAATTTCCCGACAGCCGCGGGCGCGACGCAAAATCCTGCCGTGAATGCCGCAGCCATCGATATTACGTGTGTAATTATAACGAAAATGTCGGGCGTTTTATCAATCATGTATGAGTTGAAACCGTATCCGCAGGCGCGCGCGCACCGCCTGCCACCGCCTGCCAGCGCGACAACTATACAAGCGATTCTCAGCGTCTGAGCAATCGATTATAGATGGCGCGATATTGAATTTCTTAATTTGCATATGATTTGCCGCCAAACAGCGCTCACGGTCTTGACGGGCGTATCTGCGTCACAAAAGCTGACGGAGCGCCGCCAGGAGGCGAGCATGTCGGTGTGGGCGAGGCAGAAGGCAGAAAGGTTCGATATGATATGACTACTAGGCACTTTAATTTAATTTAAATTTTTTTTTTTTTGGGTTAGGGTTAGGGTTGTTTTTTTTAAGTGCCTAGTAGTCATATCCTAAGTGCCTAGTAGTCATATCATATCGCACCTATCTGCCGGGTGCGTGGGCGATCGGCCATATCGGTTGAGAGGATCCGTTTTAATTAAATGTGAGTGTTCGAAGCGCCACTTCGGCTGTATCGGTTACAGTCCGGCGACTGTGTGACGTCGCGTCTGTACCCACGTCGTGTCGATGAAGGCTCGCGGAGATAGGACCGGCGGACAGGCGAGCGTCTACAAGCTGAGATGAGAGAAATTGCTCTCGAACTTGTGATGGTGCGTTAGGGACATGTTCTCGCTCCATCGGCTCCGTGAATAATCATGTTTAGGTGCTGTGGAGATGAAGTTGAGCGCGTCATTGCTATTCCGCCTCTCTCCCCTCCCCGCAATTAATTAGTTAATGAGGTATCAAAACGTCTATAAATGACAAGATCACAACAGTCGTGGCTTATACTATGTTTACTATGCTATTCACCTTAATTTCTCTGTTATGTCTTACTCTGAGGGCTGTTGTGAATTCTTATAATAAATACTGTATACTCATATATTCTCATAGAAGTCTCAGGATTTGCTTGTTGCTATACAGAGAGGTAACCAAGAGGGCTAAATAGTCGTTGCATTTTTCTGTTTCAGCGTCATATTCTCGATGGTGGGCCTGCACTACCTCAACAAGTTGTCCATATCAAAATACCAAGCGCCCGTTGCCGTGCCAATGACTAGTGGTAAGGTGAAGAAGAGGAACTGAACAAGAGTGACTGAGGCGGGTGGGAGGTGAGAGTGAGTGGCGCATCCATACACCAGTGGTCCATACCGATTTCGATTCGTGCCTTCACGAATCGATGCACCCTATAATATATCAGTACGTTGAATCTATACTAATCTATAAGAATTCTAATTAATGAGCGAATTTTTTTCTCCGAAAATGCACGCGGCAGGTTCTTTCAATTGCATGCAGTACGCGCGATATGCGGACGGGTTTCAGTTGGCGGAGGTTGATTGTTGAGTCGGAGCAGCACTTGTGCGTTACGTGGGCCGTGGATAAATATTCTGACAGCAGCACTCTCGGTGCATTTATGTTCAAATTTCGAATTCACGGAGAGCGAGAGTGAGCAGAATGTAATCACGCACGCACTCAACTGACGTGTGTGTGATAAGCGGAGCTAGAACTTGAGATATGCGAATAACTAGATACGTAATGAACGCACGCGATCCGTGCAGCTATGTAATCAAACTATCAAGGCATCATGGGTGTATATTCGTCGGCGTGTGGCGTCCGCGACAAGTGATTGTGTGCCTGCATTGTAGGCATACCTTTTCTTGCCAGCAGTGCCACAGAGTGTGTACTGGTGTAGTGGAAATGTGCGGTTTCTAGCTATATTGATTATGCATATTATATAGTTGATGGTGGTTTTCGCCGTTTGTCTGTGTCCGTGTGTCGATGGGTGGGGTTGAATTTGTTGTTGCAGGCGTGGATGTGGGTCTCAGTAGATGTGTAGCAACTAATATAAATTTTCGTTGAGAAGATACGCGACGGTAGCTCGATGACGTCATAAATCCACGCGTGGCATTCCTGTATTCACGACCGTTTAGATCTATAGAGATTTTTAATAAAATATGCCTTGCTACCTAACCACGTGTATACTCTGTTTGATTTTAGTATTATTAAGAAATACTGTCAGTTGCAAATACGCACAGACCTGAGAATGCAGCCTCTGCTCTCGCAAGCTAGTTTACTGATCATGACAACCCATGCGCGGTCGTGCCTCTTAACTTCTCATATACGCCTTTACACTCATCAAGGACAGACATTGCAGCCTTTGCACCAGTAGAAGCAGCTGCAGCTAACAGCTCTGCTGAGTGCTGTCTGTAGTTGTCGCTTCATTAAACGCATGTCCTTGTGCTCTGGGAATAAGACGCTATCGACACCGACTGTTATTTCGATCCGGATAACTTTACTATATTATGCGGATAATTTATCCAGATAACTATAATTTTATCGTCGACACTTTATTATAATTATCATCGTCATTATTCGGATAACGTGTATTCGCGCGGAACCATTGCGATTCGAGGCTTCGCTCTCTGTTTACTTACAGAGAGTTCGGCGTAAATAAAAGACGTTTTCATTAATTTTGATGGCGAGCGGCGAGAGGCTGATCGAGCGAAGCTGCCTTCTGGGACCATCCTGTTACGTCGGCTCTCTCAACGCTAATCGCGTTTTCACGGCTTAATCCGCTCTCGTGGCGGAGGCGTCTCTAGATCTGTAGCTGATGCAAAATTATCTTCCCTCGCAAATGCGGTTAGCCCGAATAGATGCGAATTCTGTAACGATGAGACGCTGTGGCGGCGTATAGTGTTTTTTGTCCGTCGGCGCGCGCCAGACCTTTTCTGTTCGCGAGCTGTGAACCGCTATAGCTTCCTCTGTGATCAATATCAATCCATATAGATGCGCGCAGCAGAAACTTGCGAGCACGATCACTATACCCCGCCTACTGCTCTCTGTATCAAATGCTCAATAATATGACGGCAATGATCCGTATAGCGATGGGGATTATAGAAACGGAGCGCCGTCTCACTAAAGATCTGTTACTGATATGGCTTAGGCGCACGAATCCTCGAACCTTTAACGAGTGGCTGCCTAGAAAGCAATAGGTCATCTCTAGGGATTGCCAAACTTCGCGATTTCGCCAATATAGTATATTAGTAACCAATATTAGTTCTATGCTTATATATATATATAACGAACTAACGAAGCGATAATAAAAATGAAAGCGATTGTTTTTTTAGTGACTCCTGATGTATGTATGTGTGTGTGTGTGTCGTTGCGTGCGTGCGTGCGTGCGTGCTGGTGTGTGTGTGGTGTGTGTGTCTGTGTTGTGTTCTGTGCGTGCGCGTGCGTGCGTGCGTGCGTCGCGTGCGTGCATGCATGCATGTATGTATGTATGTATTGTTCCCGATTGGTTTGCATCGCCGCGTTTATTCTCAACGTCGTTAAAACTCGTCGAATCTTTGAATTTCCCGACAGCCGCGGCGGCGACGCAAATCTGCCGTGAATGCCGCAGCCATCGATATTACGTGTGTAATTATAACGAAAATGTCGGCGTTTTATCAATCATGTATGATTGAAACCGTATCCGCAGGCCGCGCGCACCGCCTGCCACCGCTGCAGCGCGACAACTATACAAGCGATTCCCAGCGTTCTGAGCAATCGATTATAGATGGCGCGATATTGAATTTCTTAATTTGCATATGATTTGCCGCAAACAGCGCTACGGTCTTGACGGGCGTATATCGCGTCACAAAAGCTGACGGAGCGCCGCCAGGGAGGCGAGCATGCGGTGTGGCGAGGCAGAAGGCAGAAAGGTTCGATACTGAGATATGATACTAGGCACTTTAATTTAATTTAATTTTTTTTTTTTGGGTTAGGTTAGGTTTTTTTTTTAAGCCTAGTAGTCATATCCTAAGTGCCTAGTAGTCATATCATATCGCACCTATCTGCCGGTTGGCGTGGCGATCGGCCATATCGTTGGAGGATCCGTTTTAATTAAATGTGAGTGTTCGAAAGCGCCACTTCGGCTGTATCGGTTACAGTCGGCGACTGTGTGACGTCGCGTCTGTACCCACGTCGTGTCGATGAAGGCTCGCGACATAGGACCGGCGGACCAGGCGAGCGTCTACAAGCGAGATGGAGAGAAATTGCTCTCGAACTTGTGATGTGCGTTAGGGACATGTTCTCGCTCCATCGCTCCGTGAATAATCATGTTTAGGTGCGTGGAGATGAATTGAGCGCGTCATTGCTATTCCGCTCTCTCCCTCCCGCTCTCTCCTCTCGTCTCTCTCTCTCTCTCTTCTTTCTCTCTCTCTCTCTCCTCGTCTCTCTCTTCTCTCTCTCTCTCTCTGCTCTTCTCTCTCTCGCGGGCGCGCTCTCCTCTCCCATGCACGCTCTGCGCGCGTATCACCTCCTCTGTCACTCATTCTATGTCCCTGTCTTTGTCTTGCCCCCCTCTGTGTGTTTGTGTGTGTGTGTGTGTGTGTGCGCGCGTGTGTGCCTGCGTGCGTGCGTGCGTGTGTGTGTGTTTGTGTGCGTGCGTGCGTGTGTCTGTGTGTGTGTGTAGGTGTGTGTGCTTGCGTGCGTGCGTGCGTGCGTGCGTGCGTGCGTGCGTGTGTGCGTGTTCGTGCGTCCGTGTTTGTGCGCATCTGCGTGCGCGTGTGTTTTCTGTCTGTCTGTCTGTCTACCTCTCTGCCTGTGTGCCTGCCTGCCTGCCTGCTTGATTCTGCCTGCCTGCCTGCCTGCTTGATACTGCCTGTCTCTGCTCTGCCTTTTTTTTATTATCTTTCTCGTACGATGCATGATGCTTCGAAAAAAGAAAATACGCTTTTAGAAAATCCATGTTTTTCATGGTTTACCTCCACATACAGTTGTACATTGGTTAACCAGGCATACATTGGCTGCCTCCACATACATTACTGCCTTTTTGATCTTTCTCGTACGATGCATGATGCTTCGAAAAAAGAAAATACGCTTTAGAAAATCCATGTTTTAAAGGTTTGCCTCCACATACTGCCTTGAAAAACAAGTGCATCGTTGCTTGCGGTTACACGACCAAGTTGGTTACGGAATGCTTTATTCACTATAGGGTCAAAAAGTCTGTTTTGGCGCGTTTTAACGTTCGGGTATATATATGCATCGTGCAGGGACGAATATAACCCGGGTTACTCTTCCTCGTTTTGACGCGACTTGTCTATCTGCGTGTATCCTTCTCTCTGTCACACACACACACACACACACACACGCACGCACGCACGCACGCACGCACGCACGCGCGACACACACCAAACATACGCGCGCGCGTACGCACGCACACATGCATGCGCCCGCGCACACTATCACACGCACACGTGCTCGCATGTACGTCTTGTGCTGCTGGGGTCAGATAGGATGAATTCAGTAGTTACATTACAATGAATGTTAGATGGTTTAGTTGTGTGGACGATGTGCGATATACTGAAATTACGATATAGAAGATAAAAAAAACTTGACGCTGCAATATATTGCAAAGATTCTCGTTGAGTTCATACCGACTTTCTCCCTCGACCTCTATTGCGCTGCAAGCTGTACATATTCAACGTTTAGTTGCATTCATGCAGAGAGATGCAATCCCTAGTGCTGGCGTGATCTAATGAAGTTTCCATGCAATATCTCTGTACCGTATGTACAGTATCTGTAACTGAACGAAAATTTGTTCATATGGAAATTTTCCGCATTTTATCATAATAGCATCCACTCTCTGCATCCCCTCCTTACCGACTACATCCCCCCACCATCTCGCCATCACTCACTGCTAGAGATCGCAGCATCTTACTTCCCTCACCTACTGCTAGAGATCACAGCATCCTCCTTCCCTCATCGCTGCTAGAGATCACACATCCTCTTCCCTCATCCGCTGCTAGAGATCACAGCATCCTCCTTCCCTCATCCGCTGCTAGAGATCACAGCATCCTCCTTCCCTCATCCGCTGCTAGAGATCACAGCATCCTCCTCCTTCCCTCACCCACTGCTAGGATCACAGCATCCTCCTTCCCTCACCCACTGCTAGAGATCTCAGCATCCTCCTTTCCTCACCCACTGCTAGAGATCACAGCATCCTCCTCCTTCCCTCACCCACTGCTAGAGATCACAGCATCCTTCTTCCCTCATCCGCTGCTAGGCATCACAGCATCCTCCTTCCCTCACCCACTGCTAGAGAACACAGCATCCTTCTTCCCTCATCCGCTGCTAGAGATCACAGCACCTCTTCCCTCAGCCCACTGCTAGAGATCACAGCATCCTCCTTCCCTATCCCCGCTGCTAGAGATCACAGCATCCTCCTCCTTCACCCACTGCTAGAGAACACAGCATCCTCCTTCCTCTATCCGCTGCTAGGCATCACAGCATCCTCCTTCCCTCATCCACTGCTAAGAGCCACAGCATCCTCCTTCCTCATCACTGCTAGAGATCACAGCATCCTCTCCCCTCATGCGCTGCTAGAGCATCACAGCATCCTCCTTCCTCACCCACTGCTAGAGATCACAGCATCCTCTTCCCGTCACCCACTGCTAGGCCATCACAGCATCCTCCTTCTCATCCGCTGCTATGAGATCACAGATCTTCTCTCCTATCGCTGCTAGAGAACAGTCAGTATCCTTCCTTCCCTACATACGCTGCTTAGGCATCACCAGGCAGTCTCCTTCCGCACTCTGCGCTGCTAGAGAACACAGGCATCCCCCTTCCCTTCACCACTGCTAGAGAACACGCATCGCGTTCCTTCCTCATGCGTGCAGGTAGAGATTCCAGCACCTCCTTCCCTCATCGCTGCTAGAGTCACAGCAATCCCTTTCCCTCATGCCCATTGCGTATGTAGATTGCAAGCATTTTCTCCCTTCCACTCACGCTGCTAGAGATCACAGCATTCTCCTCCCCTCACCTAGCTGCTAGAGAAAACAGCATCACTCCTTCCCTCATCCGCGCATAGAGACTGCAGCATCCTCCTTCTCCATGACCGGTGGGCTAGAGAACACAGCATCTTCCTCTCAATCCGCATTGCTAAGAGATGAGCAGCATTTCCTCTCATCCGCGTGCTAAGAGAAACAGCACCTG